TTTCTGTTATAAAATAATTAAATTTTTTTCTTGTATAAAACAACAATAACAAATATTAAGAAACAATTAAAATTATTTTTTATATATAAAAAATGATATGTATTGAGAAAAAGCGTACTATGCATGCAGTTACCGTTCTCGATCTCTATCTGAGTCTGACAAGAGACATCCTTATTAACTTTATAGTTTTAATTAATGTTTTGGAGGAATTTCCTTTGAAATCACTTTAACACACGTCATTTTTGATAGGTGGTCATGAGCGCTATTTCCGTACTACTGCACTGTCTGACTGTTATATTTATCTTTAGCTCGTTCTGACTTTGTAGAGACGTTGATTACACCTTTGGCAGCGTCCCAGCGCCAGGTGTCCCGGTGCGAGTGCTGACTCTACAGTTATTTTCCATCACTAAAAAGTAACCTAATCTCAAAAAATTAGCTTTGAGAAAACTCTTGCATATTTTGGACGCCAGCTCTTGGACTATAAGGAGCATCGCGGCAAAGCTTTGAGATTTTTTATGTATCTTTTAAAGTTGTGGTCTACTATAAGTATTTTGATTTATTTATGTGTTTAGGGGTTTTTAAAACTTGCGCATGAAAGGGTGTATGTTACCATTTTTGTGCGATTATAATGTAATGGAGGGAATGATAATAGTCTGATATGATAATAATATACCAAGAAAAAGCACGACCACTTTTCTTTGTCCAAACAAAGAACTTCATTTAAATGGTCAATAAATCTGCATTGGTGCACTTCTGGAGTTGAAGATAAATTATCTAAAATGTTTAGTATAGTGGGTACCCGAACCGCACAGAGATTTTTATTATGAGATTATCAACACTTGGAAGACCAAAAAATTAAAATTGAATAGATCCGAATGAACAGTAAAAATTATAAAAATAAATAGTTTTTGGTTTTTTCTCTCTGTACCATTCATGTTATTATTACATTTTAATATTTTTATATGTTTATTTTTTGTTTATTGTGAATAAAGCATTCCAAAAAATACATACATCTCATTATTAAAGAGATAAATGCATTCTAAATTAAAAAATTTCTGTGTGTTTCTGAAAGGACCCAAGTTACAATTTTTGTGTTTTAAATTTTAGTCAAAAACTAAGTAAGACGACATAACTATTGTGGATATGTATTTAAAATTTACTTAACTAAATACTAAAAATTGAAAAAGCAGAAATATCAGTTTTAACCATAGTAGAATGTTTTTTTGTGTTTTTCTCGGAATAGATAAATACCACTTAGACCTTTTCAGAAGTAAACGATTCAATTAGTTTGGATATACCGGGTGGCTCAGGAACTGGGGAACCCCCAAAATTTTCTACAATTTTTGAGATAGAAATTTAAAATTTGTAGGGACGAATCAAGACAAAAATTGTAGTTTTTTGATCCACCCGCGCCAAAAAAAATCACGTCCGTTTTAACCGGAAGTGACTTCAACTTTCTTATTTTAAATAGCACCCTGTATATTTAGGTGATTTTTCTGATGAATATTTAATTTCCCTTTATAAAGCTTTTTTCAGATTTAAAATCGGTTCATAAATAACCGAGACAATTACATTTGTTTGTTTCTTTTAAGAAGGCCATGCATCTAATAAACGAAATACATTATAAATAAAATAATTGTCAACACTCGTTGTAAGGGTGTCTACCATCATTACTATTATGTAATAGTAATTATTTCTCATATCGTTTATTTCTTTATTTACGTTTTTGATTTTTTTTTTCGATATGTTTATTTTTACATTTCGTACTACCATAACTTGCTTATTTTAAATAGCATCCTGTATGTTTTATGTGGTGTTTTTCTTCTCATCAAATTATTCTCCCCGATGATGTATGTATTTGTTATAATAATAACGTTATTAATGCACAAAATGTCGAACATAAAATATTCCTGATACTGTTTTCACTCTTTCCATGAGTAGGCTGTGTACTCGTATACCTAGGTACGTGAAAATGTAATTTTTAAGTGATCCAATTGTTTACACTTATCAAATTATACCTATTGTAGTATAATAATAATAGTAATAACAAAAAGCATAAATTTATTTAATAATTAAACATGTACATCTACCCTACCCGACAAAATGAACTATTCATTGCAAATAAAGAAACTAGGAAGTAAGTTTTGGAAGACCAGAGTTATGAACTAGAAAATAATGAAGAAATAGTGAGTACTATACGATTAAACTAAAGTACAAACTTATAAAAACTGAACTAAATTAAATGTTAAATAACTAAAACCTTATAAATTTTGTTCAAAATGGCCTTCGTTTGCTTGAATACAAGCACGAATTCTTTCTGAACGTTCTCTCATTACATTTCGTAAGTTTTGGGGATTTATGTTATTAATTGCCTGTCTCACTCTATCCTCGAGATATTCTCTAGTAGTCGGCTGCTGAGAATATACATTATTTTTAAATATCCCCACAAATAATAGTCTAATGGACTCAAGTCCGGTGATCTCGCACCATCTAGTTGGATCATGAGTACCTATCCAGTGATCTCCAAAACGATTAGTGTAAACAATTGGATCACTTAAAAATTACATTTTCACGTACCTAGGTAATACGTGTACACAGCCTACTCATGGAAAAGAGTGAAAACAGTATCAGGAATATTTTATGTTCGACATTTTGTGCATTAATAACGTTATTATTATAACAAATACATACATCATCGGGGAGAATAATTTGATGAGAAGAAAAACACCACATAAAACATACAGGATGCTATTTAAAATAAGCAAGTTATGGTAGTACGAAATGTAAAAAATAAACATATCGAAAAAAAAATAAACAAACGTAAATAAAGAAATAAACGATATGAGAAATAATTACAATTACATAATAGTAATGATGGTAGACACCCTTACAACGAGTGTTGACAATTATTTCATTTATAATGTATTTCGTTTATTAGATTCATGGCCTTCTTAAATGAAACAAACAAATGTAATTGTCTGGGTTATTTATGAACCGATTTTAAATCTGAAAAAAGCTTTATAAAGGGAAATTAAATATTCATCAGAAAAATCATCTAAATATACAGGGTGCTATTTAAAATAAGAAAGTTGGAGTCACTTCCGGTTAAAACGGACGTAATTTTTTTTGGCGAGGGTGGATCAAAAAACTACAATTTTTTGTCTTGATTCATCCCTACAAATTTCAAATTTCTATCTCAAAAATTGTAGAAAAATTTGAGGGGTTCCCTAGTCCCTGGGCCACCCGGTATATATATTATTTAAACTTAGTAAATAAACTATAAACGATTGAAAAAACTGCTGAAAATGGTTTGTCGAAAATAAACTTAAACTGAACAGCAACTAGTTTTATCTTCAAACCTAAGAGTTATATTGGATGATAGTATGAGTGGGTCCGGTCATGTCGACTATTTAAGAAAATTAGTGTAATTTATTTATTACCAACTGAGGCCTAGTAGTAGTAGTAGTAGCTACTTATTTTACTAGGCAAGTAGGACACAATGGGCCCTTTTTACCTAGGGACCTACAGTTTAGCGTGGACTCCGAACCACGGTCCTCGACTGTCAACTAACCCACCGCCTGGGCCTGCCCGCCTGCACTGCTAGCAGAGTGGCAAACCTCCTGGGTAGGTCTCTTCGACCCTCCACCCGGGCTCACCTCGCTGCCTGCATCAGGCTAGCGGCCTTCCGGGATTGTCTGTTGACAGCCTACCGACTGTTAGATGAGCTATCGTTAATACTTGCTGCAAATGTACACAACTGTATATAATGTGGTCAAACAAACTATGTAGGTATCTATTTAGTCATATTTCAACTTGTAAGTCAGCAACATTGAGTATTTTAAGTTTTTTGGTTTTATTACTAACCTGGATTTTTTTCACCCCATTTATTAAAATCATCCTTACTTCCTCTAACGTACATCATATAGTTAATGCCACTGCTTCCACCTAAAACTCTACCTCGTGGATAAGGCATTTGGTTCTCTTCAATGCCCAAACTCATGTCTGGTTGTTTTTCTGTTCTGTATTGCCAGTCGAATCTAGTACCTTGGAAAGCGAATGCTAGAGTAGGAATGTTCATGAGACCGTCTCCAGTGTCACCATCTTCCAGTAAAAGTATTTTCCACTTTGGATTTTCTGATAATCTGTTAGCCACGACTCCACCAGCAGATCCACCGCCTATGATGATAAAATCGTATTCGCAATCTATAATATTGAAAAAAATATTAGCCGAGAATGTTTATAACAATTTGAAACTGCAGTAGATAGATGCCTGTATTCAAATATAAATATCTAAACGGTTATTCTAAACTAGTGTCAAATATTAGAAACTAATTAAAAACATCAAAAAAAACTTCTTGTGACTTCGGTTTTCATTAGAATATTATAGCAATTGTCTAATCGAAGAAAATACTGAAAAAAAAAATGTTTTCTGAATTGTTTCTTGTTAGTAAAACTTTTCAGTTTCACCGGTATGAAATTATCATATTTGGGTGACCCAAATACTACAAGTTTGGTCCTAGGTAGTCTATAAAAGTTTATTGTTGTGTTGGAATATATTTTATATATCTACATTTTTATTTATTAAGGATGTTGTGTCATAAAAATGTGTGGAATAAAGGTTGTAAATTTATATATGAATTTTAATGTATATTATACTTTCAAGGCTACCAGAAACCCAGATATATAGTTAATCATATAAAATAATTATTAATATTGGTTTCAGCAAGGTCTTCAGAAAATGTTCGTTCCACCACGTATATGTCATTCAAATGAAAATGTAGGGCTTAGATGATCGATGTGTTATTCAAATCGTTGCTCCATTTAAAATGTTTTCTTAACCGCCTAAGTCACCAAAATGAACCCCGGAAAATCCTAGGATTTTATGTTGGGAGAAGAGAAGAGATCCTACAGCGTATTGTGAAAACCGAACCACATCTAGAGCATCGACAATTCTCTCTCCCATCTTAGTCCTAAACAAATTACAAATAAAATTTCTAACTTGCTCCAGAATGGAATCGAACCATCAACCTTGGGTACCGAGTAAATAGCTATAAGCGCTTTATCCACTTAGCTACCAAGCCCACGGTCACTGTTAATGTCAGTTAACGTGTTTAGAATTTTGTAATGGTATTTTCTCAAGAGCACAAAACTTTAATGCCCAAATAGTACTTTTGTAATGGACAAAATGTTGAACAACAATGGCAGTATTTCAAGACTATTTAGAAGAATTCAGGAATGAATTTCCTAATGCTGTTGGAATGTATTCACAAGGATACATAAACAAGGAAAGTCAGTACGTCCTATTGTTTCAGCAATCGGATTGCAGACTTACCACCTATCAAAATGGTTAACAGAAGAGTTCAAAAAATTCACTTATTGCACCACCTAGTTTCTCTGTGATTAATTCCAATGATTTCGTTAATAAGGTGAAAAAATATTCAAATGCAAGAAGGTGAAATTTTGATCTCCTTTGATGTTTGTTCATTGTTTCCAAGTGTTCCGATACCACAGACCTTGGACTACCTTGAGGATATACTCGAATTAAACAATCAGTCAAGATGTAATAAAAGAATATCTTCAACTCACTAAACTTTGCATGGAACAAAATTGTTTCGATTCAACGATAATTTCTTTGAACAACATGAAGGAACAACAATGGGTAACTCTTTGTCACCATTCATTGCCAGTCTCTTCATGAACAGATTCGAGACGGAAGCAAACGAAGAATTTGAGTATTTCCCCAGGGTTTGGCTTAGATATGTGGAGAATATTTTTGCAGCGTTTGATACAAAAGTCGCTGATATTGACAACTTTGTATCTAAATTAAACAGTCGTTTCGCGTCAGTTAAATTCACATATAAAATTGAAAACTCTGGACAAGTACCATTTTGAGATGTATTAATAATTAGAAATAATGAAAATAAGTTAGAATTTGACATATACCGAAAAGATACCAGTACTCTGAGATATATCCCTAAGGACTCTCACCATGGCAAGTTTTAATTTTCTAGTCCATCGTCTATTAAGCTTCCCTCTCAATAAAAAAGAGGTTTAAAAAAGAAAAAGCATTGATTAAGTATATAGCTGCGAGCAATGGATATTCTATAAGTTTAATTGATACAATATTTAGGAAACGAACATTTAAAGAGTCGCTTCGAAATTCCTTGACTTTTCAAAATGAAAGAGAAATTTCGAAATTTGTATCGATTCTATTCGATCCTCGATTCACCCGTAGTATTGGTAAGATTTTTAAAGATGTAGGTATGACAGTGGTTCATTCATCTGGAAATAAACTACAACAACTTTTAGGCAATCCAAAAGACAAAATTGTAACAAACGAAAAGTCGGGGATTTTCGAAATTAGCTGTAAGGACTGTGACCAAAAATATGTTGGACAGACTAGACGATCAATTCAAACTAGTTTCAAAGAACATATGGCCCATCTCAAATATGGTAAATCTAGTGTCGCCCAACATGGGTTTGAGAACAACCATAAAATAGATATTAGCAATTTTAGATTAATTAGGAATGTAACAAATACTAGAGAGCTGGATGCATTTGAAAGCTTGGAAATCATAAAGTGTAAAAACAGTATGAATAGTGACAGAGGGCCTATTCCAAATAACTTTATTGGTTAGTGGGTTACGGTTCACCGTAGCGTGACAATAGTTTGGATATACATAGGGTAGATTGTTAGCATAAGTTTAGTTTTGATCATCTCCAGATGATGCCAACTTGTATGTCGAGACGCGCGTCGAGTGCAGTATATAGTGTTTTTGGTGTTTCATGGAAAACTACGTCAGTGTTAATATTTATTTATCTACCTAATGTTATGTTACTATTGAAAGAGCTTTTGATATATTAAATGCTAATAAATTACCACCCAATCAATCATTAAGGTTTTCCGTATCTTTGGAAACTACTTCATCCCAATTTGTTCTACTAAAAATTATCACGGTATCATCTGCATATATAATAATTTGACCTGTTATATTCAGTTCACACAATTTGTTAAGAACACTTGAAAATATTTGGCGCAATTACAGTGCTTAAGGAATTCCTGTTGTTATTACGTTACTGTTACTAATATTAACGTTTTATTTTTGCAAATTTTATCATGAATTTGATTTCTGAAGGTTTGGTAGGGACCCTGTAATTATGTCACGACAGTAGTTAATAGTCGAAATATTTTGAAATGTTTGTTTGAAATACGACAAAAACAAATTAAGATCGCCATTTAAAAACGTTAAATTGGTTGAGTGTTTCCGGAACACGAAACGTCTCGTGGCATTGTGTTAATATATCGCGAAATAAAATAAAAAGTTGCCATTCCCAAGCAACATTCTGACGACGAACCGACGTTGCTGTTCGCAACTAATAGTCGGTGTGCGACGTACACAAAACGTCGGGATGACCCATATTTGTACTAATCTGGTCAATAAAATATGGGTCGATTCGACGTAGAGGACCGTCTTTAGTCGTTGTGATTACGGACCAAATGTTCACCAAAGTTTACGTCGGCTTAAGTTGGTTGTCAGCCTATTACCAACCTTATTTAAAATTTGCCCTTAATCTGACCTACAAAAGTCGGGTGTAGGTAGTGAAACTAAGCAATTTTGTATATTATTCTATTTGTCGTACCTATCTATTTATATAAAATGGATAAGGCGTGTTTATCATTGAGTACGTATTATATACAAAATACTTCGAATAAAATTTTAATAAATCTGGTGGGGTAAAAACTGAAACGAAAGAAATTTTATTGATACATATATATAAAGTAGGTCGAAAAATATAGTGAACCCATAAGAATAATGTTTATTTTAAGAACGGAAGTACTATTTTTATTTTTTTACTTTCAAAAAATATTTTTCGTTTCCAAAAAAAGCGCAATTGAAATATTGTTTAATTAATTTTGCGAGTAAATAAAAACTTTTTTTGCTTACTTTATTTGAAAAAAGAGGCAAATTTTGTGTATTTAAAATAATTGTACACATAATCAACATGGCCGCCTATTATTTCCTTCTGTGGAACCAGAAAATATGGCGAAGGCGGAATAAGTGCAACTATTTTTACTAATAGCAACTTCACGGTTAAATAATTTTACCTGCACCAACTTTTAGTAGGCTTTGGTGCAAAAATCTGCACTAACACTAACGTTCATTCCAAACAATCACGATAATATCGACCGTCTCTTGCAGTTGGTGTATAAATCTTTACTAAATATCTATCAATACCTGAATTATCGACATTGATTTTGAGGTTATGTTAGACCAAGGACCAAAAGCCTAACACCAACGTCCAACCGACGTTGCTAGACGACTACGTCAGTCAGCAACGTCTAACCAACGTTGGAATGTTACCCAAAAATTACCTAAATCTAATTAATCAGTTACCAACGTCTAATCAACGTTAGATAATAATCTAAGAACACACTCAACGTATTAAGTAGATTTCTGACATCAAACCAATGTTGGTAAATGTGCTAGATGTAAACAGTAGGTTTGCGAGGTTCAAGCTACGTTGCTCCGACGTTGTATCATGACTATAAAATTTAAGACGCTACTTGACTAATATTTGTAATAATTTTGACCTTATAATTAGTAAAAAAGTAGTCGGTAGTCGGTAAAATGTTACTTGAGATGAATGTAGCTACCTATCAAGTCGGTTACCAACGTTATACAGAAGTAGGTGTATTACCGAAAAATTAATCGGAGCTACTTAAGTTAGTCATTAACGTCTAACCAACGTTGGTTAATAACTAAAAAGGACCAAACCTATTAAGCCACTAACCAACGTTGGCAAGTGTTACATAACAAACTTGACCTATTCAGTTAGTCACCAACGTCTACCCCAACGTTGGTAGGTTACTCAAAATTTAACCATACCTATTTTAGTCAGTTGTCAACGTCTAACCAACGTTGGTAAGTTATTCAAAATATAACCATACCTATTTTAGTCAGTTGTCAACGTCTCATCAACGTTGGATAATGACTTGAAAACATATCAAACCTTATTAAGTCGTTTTCCAACGGCAAATCAACGTTGGTAAATCGTCCAGACTTAAGCAGTAGGTTTGCGAGGTCGGCGCAATATTTGGTTCGACGTCGTATTACAACTACAAAATTTAAGTTATTACTCGACTACTATTTGTAATAATTCTGACGTCGGAATTAGTGAAAAAGTAGTCGGTAGTTGGTAAAATGTTGCTTGGGTTAGAAAACATTAAAGCATAAAATATGTTTATTGAAACATACATGAAATATGAGACAATTATTTTTTTTAAAGATAGAAATATTAGTTAAAGTTAATTTTTAATAAGTAACACATTATATTTAAGTAGTCAGATAAGATATACTTTTATTACCACAATTAGTTTTTAATTTAACTATAACTTGCTGTTTTAATTTACATTTCTATTGCTGATGGCTATCACCAGAGTGCGTATCTCGGACGACATTTCCAGAGATAGATTCCGAATTACACGATACACAGTGATTTTTCCTTAACATCGTTATTATTAGTAAACTATTTTATTATCAGTTGCAGCTCATAAAAACAGTTTTCTTATACTTTTTGTAAAGTTTCAGTAGTTAAAAACATTGGCCACAAACAGTTATTGCTACACAAGCTCAAACTTCATTAAATACAAAAGTTTTATTTAATAAACCATAGTTAAAATCCATGTAAACGTTTCTCCCATAGAATCTGAAATATTTAGCATTTTGTATTGAAAATAAGTAGAGTAGAGCTCGGAATTTAGGTATTGATGATGTCAGCGCGTAAATATGTTCATATATGTATGACACAATATACCGTATCTTGTAATTTATTTAGCGAATTACGTAATGTCCAAAATTGATAAAGTCAATTTATTATAAACACTCATTCGACGAAGACTGGACGAATTATATCTATAAACAAAAATTTAGAAACCAGAAGGGCATTAGTTACGGGGTTGAAACCTCTACCGCTGAGTAGCACTTAATAAGGAACTAATCAAATGTCATTACAGCAGAGGGGTAACTAGAAATTAAAACGCCTGTGACCAGCCAACACAAATCTATTCGATCTTTTAAA